TCTATATATATATATATATATATATATATATATATATATATATATATATATATGTGTGTATATATTATAATATTCTTCCTTCAATTTTCTTGTTACAATCAAGAAATTTTAGCTAGTTTCTATGTATGTGACTCCTCAGGGCCGGCGGCGGTGTACGGTGACCCCTGTGAAAGTAGAGGCGAAAGAGCCTGTGAAGCAGGAGAAACCAAAGGAGGAGGAGACGCAAGGTGGAGGAGAGAACAGCGAAGAGGAGCAAAAGAAGAAATCAGATGGGGAGACCCCCGGGAAACGTCGCAGCTGCTGCCTTGAGGAGTCTGATAAAGATACTGATGATGAAGAACAGGAGGATGATGAAGATGAGGAAGAAGATGGTGAGAGATCCAGACTCGGGGATCGGTATGTCAGCATCATCTGTGTTTAACCTGTTAAATGTTTTGCTGTCCTGATGAACTTTATGGTACAATCCTGTAATGTTGTACCAAATGTCATTTTAAACTCTGAATGGTTCTCTTGTGGTGCATTTGATAAGAAAACTGTAATGCATGTGATTAGGCTTGAAATTCTGCATTTGAACTATAGCCTGTATAAAAACATGGACGTAGTGTCCATGACGTCACCCGTAGTTTTTCCGAAGAGTGTTTTTGAAGCTCAAAGTGGGCGGAGTGGGCCGTCGCCATCTTGGCAGCGCGTCACTCCCGGATAATCGAAAATGGGCAAAAAGGCGGGAGCTGGTTGCTGAAGCCATGCCCACCTAGCTCGACGGCAGTGTCGGCAGCGGCAATCCACCTGTCACTCAAGTGGCCACGCCCTTAATTATGCAGAACTTCAAGGCTTAATATAATTTAAACGGATGAGTTCTTAAAAAAAAAAAAAAATAATCTGTAGAACTTAGTGGCGCTGGTGCCACTGCTTTCAAATGTTAGTCTGGAGCCCTGCCCCCCTCACAGTTGTCATGAAGGGCAAAATTAGCTATATAGACCAAAATAATTTTTTGAACCAGGCTGTAAACATGTTTTTTTTTTTTTCTGCTGTAAAGTTGGGTATTTTAACATGGGGAGTCTATGGGATTGACTCCCTCTAGCAGCCAGTTGACTAATTACAGTTCAAGTCACTTCCGTGTTGGCTTCACGAGAGAAAGCGGGAGGTTGCCGCTTGATTTGAACCTGTTCCAGCAGACTGAGAAATGATGATACCGGAGAATGGTTTCGCATACATGACTGATCTCATGTGATGTTACACTTCTCTTGGCTGTCTGATTTCACCTGCATTTAAACCGGAGAAATGGTGTTAAGTCATTAGTAATTTCAGTTACTTGGCCTTTTCTTTGAGACCTTTTCCTGAAAGGGGTCACTTTTTTTAGATTTTTATTTTGTTACTCCAAGTTATTTGAAGTCCAACTGTAAAAATATTTGTTTGTAATAAGACCAAGTTAAAATTGCCAAAGGGGTCTTCAATACCTGAAAAAATTACTTCCTGTTGTTCATCAAAGTGCACCACATTGCCGTTTAGGGGCTGATATGTAAATAATGGGTGATCAAACATCGATGTGCTTGTGATGGGGATGGAAAGGGTTTTGTAATTTCTGAACAAATTTGCAGCTTCGTTTTTTTTAAACTATAGGTGGGCTGGGGGAGCTTTTGAGTTTTGGATATTTAAAAAAATTTTTTTTTTAATTTTTTGTATTAATATTTTGAAGAAAGAAATGATCTTATGCTCACCAAGGTTGCATTTATTTGATCAAACATAATAAATAAGTAAAAACAGTCATGTTTTGAATTACTATTACAAATTAATAGAAAACTTTTTTTTTAATTTTATTATCTTAATGTAATTTTTTCCTGAATTTTCAGCTTCATTACTCCAATCTTCAATGTCACATGATCCTTCAGAAATCATTCTAATATGCTGATTTGGTGCTCTAGTAACATTTCTTATCAGTGTTGAAAACAGTTGTGCTGCTTAATGTTTGTGGAAACTGAGATGCATTTTTAGGATTCATTGATACATTTTGAAAGTTCAAAAGAACAGCATGTGTTTGAAAATCTTTTTTCATTGTAAATGTCTTTACTGAATTTTTTTTTAACGATTTATGCTTTCTTGCTGAATAAAATAATTAACTGACCCCAAATCTTACTTGCCCCAAACAACAAAAGTGCTGTTTTCTATGATATGGTCCTTTAAAAATCTCTGTGTGGATGAAGAATCTTAATTGTTCGTGTTTGGTTGACAGAGATGAGATGGAGGAGGATGACTGCTGTGAGGACTCTGAGCATTCTGTGACCGGCACTAAAATCAAAGTGAGATACGGCAAGGGGAAGACACAGAAAATCTATGAAGCCAACATCAGGAACACAGAGACAGATAATGGAGAGGTTGTTTACCTGGTGCATTACTACGGCTGGAATATTAGGTGAGGTGTTGATGCGACTGTCTTTTAATGTTTAATTTACTGCATTTAATGCATGTGAAAATTATGACTGGATTTTGCCTGCAAATACACAGTGAATATTGTATATACTGCTCTGTTCTACTGAAAAACTTGAAATGCTTGTTAAGAGAATGGGGTCAAAGATGATGATACCAGAGAATGGTTTCGCTAACTTGACTGATGTCATGTGATGTTACACTTCTCTTGGCTGTCTGATTAACCTCTGCTTCAATTTAACATGTCATAATAACCTTTTAGTCTGTTACCATTAGAGATTCCAATATGTTATTTCATCGATTAGATTTCTTAACTCTTAGACGGCATGCATTAAATGTCCATTATTCATTTAAAATGATCAGAATGGTGCATGAAGACTGAAAGTGTTATTTATTGTTCACCCTGTGCATGATGTCAGTATTCAAGGGATTTTGTCTCCGCAACAGATATGATGAATGGATCAAGGCAGATCGAATAATATGGCCTGTCGATAAGGGTGGAACAAAGAGAAAACAAAAGAAAAAAGTGAAGGTGAGTGGCAATCTGTCTTAAACTAAAATGAGATTTATCTTTTGAAAACCTTGGGGAAAAAAATGATCTTTTGAGCTCTCCTTCACCATAGAATAAAGAAGATGGCGAGGAGGATAAACAGGCCAAACAAGCGATACGTCGAGGTCGTCCTCCACTCAAAACCACCCCTCCCAGCACCTCCCGTAGTGTGTCCAAGACCCCCAGCAGCGAGGGTCGATCCAGCAGCAAGACCTCAAGGCCCACAGATGCCTCTACCCTGCCAAATGGAGAGGGTAAGACTGTCCATATCAAAAGCTGTCTATAACCTGTGTAATCTTGCAGCTGAAGTTCAGGTCTGATAACCGGAATGGTAGTAATATCATGCTACTGCCACTGCCCTGTCACAAGAAACAGAAACCAGCCTTTTGCCATGTGATTACAAACATTCTAGTTTCTATAGTAAGATTAATGGCTTGGTGGGTTTTGTTGAACATTACTACTGTTATGAGTTGCACTTATATTTAGGCATTTGGCATATGTTTTTTTTTAATCTAAAGCATCTAATAAGTGTATTCAATGTACACATTTTACCAGAATGTATGTCCCCTGGGAGCCCATGACCGTGACTAGTGTTTAACACCATAAATATTTGGACAGGTACCCCTCGAATGAGGAGAACTTCTGGGATGTATGATTCGGATAGAGGATCTAATGGTAAGAGCAGCTCACATCACTTTGAATCGATAGAAAAACAACACCTGCTGAAATTGATAACTTGATGGTATTTATTTTCTGCCACCTTACTTTAAAACACATCTTTAAAAGAATTGTAAAAGGATTGTATTCTTCATATGGAAATTAATTTGGATATGACTGAGATATATAAACCAGTGAACTCATGCTGAACTGCAGGGTTTAAAAAAAACAAAAAAACATGAAATTGTGTTAGACATTTTTCATCACTTCACAAGTTTTTAACTACCCAATGCCTTTTCCCGTCCACTTTTAAATTAAATCGACTCTGATACGTTGACTCAGAAAAACGCAGATGATTGCTTTTGTCCAACACGTCTGTGCATCACTAGTTTTAAGCATCATACTTGACGGTTAACTTTCATGGTCATTGACTTCAATGTATATTTTCATTTTTAGATTCAGGGAACTCCTCAGATGATAGTGAGTGTGAGGAATCTCCTGAGAAGAAGTTGGAATGGACAGAGACAACCTATCCACCCCCAACAGCAAAACAAGAGGCAGCTGACGATCTCCCAGAGGAGAGCACAATGCCAGAGCCTGCGCAGACTGAGCCTGAACTTCCCAGCAGTGCTCAGGAGATGCCCAACTTCAAGGAGAGGGAGAGTAAACCTGAGGAAGACACATCCCTGCTCCCTGTTGCGTCTGATGACGGATCTCCAAAACCGAGAGTGAAGAAACCTCGTTTGAAAGAACCAGGACCAGAGACTCCCACACAAACACTTGCCGCTGCTAATCACACTCAGACAGAGCAACCCTCTACTCCTCTGCAACCTGCAAATATACCCCAGAAAAGGCCATATAGTCCTTTAGAGAGAACAACGCACGTGGAGATTACCTCGGACACAGACTCTGCAACAGAGGACTTCGGCCCGTCAGAGCAAAATGCCGCAGTGGAATTCGAATTCACTGAACGGCTAACACCAGAAAGGGTAGTCCACGTGGACATAGAAGAAATAAGAATGCTTTCTCAAGTTAAAACGCCACCGCTGGAGAAGAAACCTGATCCTGAGAAGAAGACTGAGGTGGGGCAGAAACCTGAGGAACACCCTTCTCCAAAATTATCATCTCCCAGTAAAGATATCGAGATGAAATCTGAGATGCCCGCTCTTACCAGAGAGGTGCACCTCAGGGTAGAACCTCCTTGCCCAGAGCTTGAGGATCCAACAACAACCGCAAATGAGGAAATGATGCCTCAAATCGGCCCTGAAGCGCTGGTCTGCCATGAAGTGGACCTTGACGATCCAGAGGAGAAGGACAGGCCCTCTGGTGAAGAGTTACTGCTAATGATGAAGGAAGAGAGAACTCAACCTCTAGAGCCTTCCGACCAACTTCCTCATGTCCTGGCTGCAGTGGGACCTCCACGTCTGTTTTCCCCATCCTCTGCCCCCAGCCCGGACGAATCTCACAGCATTAAGAGTGAGAGCGACACCACCATCGAAGTGGACAGTGTGGCAGAATCACAGGAGGGGCTCGGGGAGAATGAGTCAACTCATAGTTTTGATGCTAGTGCAAGTTCAAGCAATTCTAGCATCTCACTGCAGGATCGAGATGGAAAGGACAGAGGTAGGTGAAAGTAAGCCGTTTGAATTGGGAAAAAAATAGCTAAAAAAATAGACTATTGGCATAATTGATATGATCAGCAATAGACCTTTGTCAGTGTGAACACCATTATCTATTATTTTTGAAAGGAGTGCAATGAGGCTCTGAGGGACTGAAGTACAGTGTGTTCAATAGATTGTATTGTTGTTTAACAAGATACGATTGTTCAGCTGATGAATCTTTCAGAAGACAAAAACTGCTAAAAAAACAGTTTTCAAAGTTTTGAGGTGTGATACGTGATCTAGGACCTTTATAACCTTGCATGCCACTGTAAAAACTGTAAATATATCCCTCACAGCCTTGTTTTCATCTGTGTTTAATTCAGTGTGGCATCTATCCTGACCAAGATTTATATATCGTCTTTCACTAGATTTGTCTTTTGTTCTGTGTGTTTTTCTTATTTGTATTGTTGTTGTTCTGCATTTTCAGGTCAGAAAAGGTTATTGGATTGCACTACTGGCTTGTCGGCCAAGAAGCAAAAACGCAGCCAGAAACGTTCAAGCGCTGCATGTAAAACAGAGAAGAATGGAGCAGGTGAGTGTTTTGATGCAAGTTCAAAGCCTTGAAAGCATTTATGGATTGATGTCCAAGTCAGGGTTTACTTTTTCTATTAGTTGTTTGCTATAAACTGATATTGAAGTTTTATTTAATTAATTTCTTTTTATTTTATTCCTTCGATTCCTATCCTGGAAGGTTAGGTCAGGTTTATTCAAAAAAAAAAAAGTTCCAGTAAAAATTGAATGTATGTGATTAATCAAAGGTTGGCGGAAAGAGAATAGAGTCAAAGATGATGATACCAGAGAATGGTTTCGCTAACTTGACTGATGTCATGTGATGTTACACTTCTCTTGGCTGTCTGATTAACCTCTGCTTCATTTCTCACGTTCAAAGTTAAACATTCTAGCTTTAATTTCTATTTGTGACCAATGATGGCTTTAATTGTGTATGACGGGTATTTTTTGTCTTTGACTCAAACCTGATACAATCTCTCTGTATGTCTCCAGGTCACAGTAGCGACAGTGAGGACCTGTCTGCCATGGACAGCTCTAATAAGCTAACCCCAGTCAAGCACTCCAGCCTACCCAAGAGCCAGAAGCTTTCTCGGTCACCCGGTCTGGTTTCTCCCAACATTAAAGACATGGAGAAAGACAAGCACAAAGAGAAGCAATCCATCCCTTCCCCCCGCACATATAAGTGGTCCTGCCAGTTGAGTAAGTTTACGAACTTTACCAAAGTTACAAAGACACATTTTGGTTGTCGCTGAAGTGTCTGAGACTTTTACATCCTGTCCTCACTGGTTCCTGCTTCTGTTTTTCACAGCTGAGCTGGACAACATGTCAAGTGCTGAGCGCATTTCATTCTTGCAAGAGAAGCTACAGGAAATCAGGAAGTACTACATGTCACTCAAGTCTGAAGTGGCTTCCATCGACAGGAGGCGGAAAAGGTTAAAAAAGAAGGAAAGAGAAGGTAAATTTTAAAATTTGTTCATTTACAAATATTGCTGCTATTATTATTAATAAAAAAATAATTTCTATTTATCGATTATTATTTATAACATTATTATTATTATTATTAATGACATTAAAAATTTTCTTGTTTATTCTGTTCAGGTCTAAAGAATTTGGAAATTGTACTTAATGTTAAAAAATGTAAATGGTTTTTGAATTTCTCAAATTATTGACCTTTGACGTAGTAGTAGTAGTATGTATGTATTTATTAATTTATAATGACATTGTTTATTATTAATAGTTTAATAATAATAGCTATGATTGTTGTATGTTTATTCTGTTCATCAGGTTTAAAAAATGTTTTAAATTGTACTATTTAAACTTCGGATTTCTCCATTTCCGGTCTTTTGTGATTTATTGACCTTTGATTTGTTATTCTCATTTTCATTTCGAGTTCTTGACCAATTGAATAAATGAGTTGCTTCTCACACAAGTATGTTAAGCCCAGGGGTTTCTTACAGTTCCTTTTGTAAATAGATCTTTCAAAACCCATGTATTTGAAAAATAAATTTTACACAAACTGTAAAAAGATTTATTATTTAAACCGTACAGTTTGTATATTAATTTTCCTTTTCTATGTCAAGTTGGTAGAAGCATTAGCACATCTTTAGACTGTATATACTCAACCATTTTGGAACCTAAACCCAAGCTGTCTAGAGTGATGACCCATATGACTATGTTGAACATTTTATGCTGTAGGCATTGATTAATTCACTGCGATGAAATTGTGAAAATTGCTTCCCTGTGACTTCAGTTTATTTACAGATTCCTGGAGGAAGAAATGAAGGCATTAGGTTCCTGAGCAAAGCCATTGTATCTTTATGTAAAATAAGAAGAGGTCTTCTCATTTCTAATAAAGTTTTGAAATATTCCGAAGTATTCTTCCTATTTCGTTGTGTTTTATTAACTGGTTAAACTCACAAAAACAACCAGGGGCACATTTTAACCTCATTTGTTTATTTGGCAGAAAAATGCATTCCTGTATTTTTAGGACAAAATATGGACATTATCAGAATTTTCCTTCAAATTGTAATGCCACTATTTTATTCGAAGAAGATTAAATCCACATGGCTTAAAGAGAGTATAAACAAATACTACCATGATGTGGAAATACTTACAATATTTAATGTTCAGTTTGTACTCGAGTTTCATTGAAATTTCACAATGCAAAATTGCTTTAAAACGTTTTTTTTTTTTCTTCCTTTAGGCAAGAACTATTTATTTTGGACTGAATTATGACTTTATAGCCATGTTTTCTGAGATTCGTCTAGCTAGTAATACTAATAAAATCTTCACAGAACTCATCTTTGTTAAAGGAATAGTTCACCCAAAAATGGAAATTTACTCGCCCTCAGACCATCCAAGATGTAGATGAGTTTGTTTCTTTGTCAAAATAGATTTAGAGAAATTTAGCTTTCCATCACTTGCTCACCAATGGATCCTCTGCAGTGAATGGGTGCCGTCAGAATTAAGAGTCCAAAAGGCTGATGAAAGCATCACAAGTAATCCACACGACTCCAGTCTATCAGTTAACATTGTGAAGTGAAATGCTGCGTGTTTGTAAGAAACAAATCCATCATTACGATGTTTTAACTTCAAAACTTTGCTTCTAGCTAAAATACCAGTTTATAATCTATAATTTAGACTTTTTCACTGGAGGAAGCATTATGGATAAAGGACTGATATTATGGCCAGAAGTGGCCGTTTAAAGTTAAAACACCTTGATGGATTTATTACAAACATGCTTTTCACTTCACAAGATTGGAGTTGTGTGGATTACTTGTGATGCTTTTGTCAGCTGTTTGGACTCTCATTCTGGCGGCACCCATTCACTGCAGAGGATCCATTGGTGAGCAGGTGGTGTAATGATGTATGCTACATTTCTTGGATGGTGTGAGGGTGAGAAATTTGAGCAAATTTTCATTTTTGGGTGAAGTATTACCTTGAAGCTTTTTTCTTTCATTAGCTAAATTATACATGAATGAGACTGAATATTAGAGTTGACAAATATTTTATTTTGTAGCACGCTAACATAAAACAATCAAGATCTTTCGTGTTTTACGGAAGACCAACATAATGGTCAAAACGAGAGTGTCTGTCCTTTGGGAAACCAAAATTCCCAACGATCCATTTATCCGAAGAGCCGGCAGACTTTACAGGACTTCTCACAGAATTCCCAGTGCCTGCGTCGTCTGCCCTGCTGCTCCATGCTGGAATAGAGAGAGCCTGACGTAATGCTCTGGAGTTCAGCCGCAGATGATTATCGTGGTTGTCCTAACAAGCCAGCTTTAGCAGCCAACGCTTCATTCTGCTGGATGTGATATTCCTGAAAGCGCATGGAGATCCTCTGCGTCATCTTCAGATACTTCTGTAAGCAGCTCTCAGAACATGTAGTCTGGAAAGGAAAGAAACATTGAAATCCAGTTAAAGGGATAGTTCAGCCAAAAATGAAAATGTGATGTTTATCTGCTTACCCCCAGGGTATCAAAGATGTAGGTGACTTTGTTTCTTCAGTAGAACACAAACGAAGATTTTTAACTCAAACCGTTGCAGTCTGTCAGTCATATAATGTAAGTGAATGGGAATCACGGCTTTGAGAGTCAAAAAAAAACATACAAATTAAACCCTGCGGCTCGTGACGATACATTGATGTGTAAAGACACGAAACGATCGGTCTGTGCAAGAAACTGAACCGTATTTAAATCATTTTTTTACCTCTGATTCACCGCAATGTCCGAACTGTCCTGAGCGCGTTCGCGTCGTCTTCAGTCGGCGCGTGACGTGTCGTCGTCTTGTTTTACGGCAGATTACAGACTTATAAGTGTATTACCGCCACCTATCTCTCAAATGGACCACTGACACTCCTAATTGAGATTGTAGATAGAGTGTCAATGGTCAATTTGAGAGATAGGTGGCGGTAATACACTTATAAGTCTGTAATCTGCCGTAAAACAAGACGACGACACGTCACGCGCCGACTGAAGACGACGCGAACGCGCTCAGGATAGTTCAGACATTGCAGTGAATCAGAGGTAAAAACTATATAAATACTGTTCAGTTTCTTGCACAGACCGATCGTTTCGTGTCTTTACACATCTGTGTAGCGTCACGAGCCACAGCAGCAGTGTCAAGACTTCCGAGACCAAAACAAAGGGAGGAAAGACTTTTATTTTGAAATCTGTCTTGCGATCGCGCTGTTGTTTCCAAGATCACGGTTGTGAAGTTTTGTTGTCAGCAACAACCGAAGCTGTGAAAAAAAACGGGATTTACGGCTGAAATAAAACATCATTTAAATATCACATTACAATATTACGAAACAAAGTCGGGATTTACTGTAATAACAGAAATGAGCGACTGAGCCAACCTGTTGCTTTTAAAAATAACTTGCGGCGGGAAATTTAAAACCAATACTGACAACAACACCAGAGTGACTGTCGTGTCATCTGTGCATATCTCAGGAAATAAAGCCAATTATCGTTATCTTGACGTCATGTTTACGGTAAGACGGTTATGAACGCTATAATTATATACATACTTATATAAAAGTGGAAATGGGACCTTGTTGTGTGTCTATGATCAATAACACGCACTTCAACGACTCTACATCCAGCTCTGATGCAGCAGATGTGTTAATAAACTCAAGCAGAGCAGCTTTGGGTGCCAGCAGAGAGAAAATACAACGTAAGAGCCATAATAAAGTTCATATTTACATCAGGAGACTGTCAGACTCTGAAGATGTTCATTCTGTGGGTGAGAGAGAAATCCCACCTGCCCTGTCTGTGAATATACCTTCAGCTTCAGATACAGGTAACACTGTTGGATTAGGCCTGTCACGATAACAACTTTTTGTTGTGTGATATATTGCCCCAGAAATAATTGCGATAAATGATATCATTGTCATTTTAAGACCATTTTATGCCACTGAATATATAATAATAATAATAATATAACAGCATAATAATGCAAGAAAGCCTACACCAGGGGTGCCCAAACTCGGTCCTGGAGGGCCGTGTCCTGCACTTTGCTTAGCTCCAACCCCAATTAAATACATCTGAACCAGCTGATCGAAAATACAACGTAAGAGCCATAATAAAGTTCATATTTACATCAGGAGACTGTCAGACTCTGAAGATGTTCATTCTGTGGGTGAGAGAGAAATCCCACCTGCCCTGTCTGTGAATATACCTTCAGCTTCAGATACAGGTAACACTGTTGGATTAGGCCTGTCACGATAACAACTTTTTGTTGTGCGATATATTGCCCCAGAAATAATTGCGATAAATGATATCATTGTCATTTTAAGACCATTTTATGCCACTGAATATATAATAATAATAATATAACAGCATAATAATGCAAGAAAGCCTACACCAGGGGTGCCCAAACTCGGTCCTGGAGGGCCGTGTCCTGCACTTTGCTTAGCTCCAACCCCAATTAAATACATCTGAACCAGCTGATCAAGCTCTTACTAGGCATACTAGAAACTTCCCGGCAGGTGTGTTGAGGCAAGCTGGAGCTAAACTCTGCAGGACACCGGCCCTCCAGGACCGAGTTTGGGCACCGCTGGCCTACATGCTTTCAAAGGACAAACTTTCCATTCTTAAGAATATTTAGATCATTAAGTATTTGAAATGAAGTATCAAAATATTAGATACCTTAAAAAACTTGAATAAATAGTAAATAAACCGATACAGGTAACCCTATTAGATTGATTATAGTTAGATTGTGAGATCAATTAAATCAGGGGTGCCCAAACTCGGTCCTGGAGAGTTTAGCTCCAACCCCAATTAAACACATCTGAACCAGCTGATCAAGATCTTACTAGGCATGCTAGAAACTTCACCGAGTTTGGGCACCGCTGGCCTACATGCTTTCAAAGGACAAACTTTCCATTCTTAAGAATATTTAGATCATTAAGTATTTGAAATGAAGTATCAAAATATTAGATACCTTAAAAAACTTGAATAAATAGTAAATAAACCGATACAGGTAACCCTATTAGATTGATTATAGTTAGATTGTGAGATCAATTAAATCAGGGGTGCCCAAACTCGGTCCTGGAGAGTTTAGCTCCAACCCCAATTAAACACACCTGAAGCAGCTGATCAAGATCTTACTAGGCATGCTAGAAACTTCCCGGCAGGTGTGTTGAGGCAAGCTGGAGCTAAACTCTGCAGGACACCGGCCCTCCAGAACCGAGTTTGGGCACCCCTGAATTAAATGATCAAAAGAATAAATACTTTTTTTTTTTTTTTTTCTGAATTCAGTTGAACCCCATGAACAACAGTCTGGTGGACCATCAAATAAATTTGCTGACTTTTTTTGACCAAGTGAGTTTTTATTTACAGTTTAGTTATATTTGGTTTGCTTGTAATTAAACGACTTAAACTGGCTTAAGTTGATTAACTTATTTATTTATTTTCTCATATAGGCCTCCAGGAAAGAGAAAAGTAAAGTTCAAACTACAATCATGCAGACAGCAAACGTAAAGTCAAAAGGTATTATATTATATTGGTATTAAAGTAATGATCAAACTACAATCATGCAGACAGGAAACTTAGTCAAAAAGTATGAATTTATATTATGTTTTGCGATTTAGAATTATAATGATATTATATTGTATTGTTTTGAATTATATTGGTATTATATATTTTTGAAAGCAGCTAATGTGAATCGATTTGTAATCTCTGAACACCGCAGGTGAAGATGTGCACGTTTCTACATACTCTGCTGATGGGAGAGGAGCAGTTTCTGCAGCCCTCAAGAAAAGGTAACGCCTGCTTTCACTCAGTTGTTCCTATGATCAAACATGGTTATTTTGTACACATGGATATTTCACTTTGTTCCTCAGATCCCAAAGTGCCCCTTTAAGACGTAACGTGACAGTACAAGTGTTGGACCAAGACCGATCCCAAACTCCAGGAGGCCAGTCAGATCCTGTTTGTCCATTAGGAGATCCTGGGACTTCTGCAAACGTGGCAGCCATAACCGCTGCTACTATTGCTGCCACAGCGCCACTTATCAAGGTAGATATTCTTAGATTCATACAGCATTATAATATTGTAACATGCATAAAGCAATACAGTATTATAGCATTCACCTTACACTGTCTTTGTTTGGTCCATCAGGCTCAGCGTGAGATGGAGGCTCAGATCGCACTGGTAACTGCTGAGCTGAGGAGGTTGCAGGCAGCAGAGTCCAGTGTCCAGCCGGGAAGGGCGGCCAATACTGAGAACAGTCCTGCTGGGAGAGCAGCCCATCTGGAGGAACAACTTAGCATTCTGATCCAGCAGAGACTGCAACACCTGGAGACCATCCAATGTCAGCAGATCCAGCTGCAGGTAAAAATGGCAAGACCTCTGTCTAGATCTGGAGTTGCAGAATCTAGCTATTTTAGTTAGTTCATTATTTAGTTTTGTTTTTGTATTTTATTTGATGTTTTATATATATATATATTATATACACAGTATATATATATTATATCTTTTTTTATTTCAGTTTTATTTAGTTTTGCTTTTAGCTTTTATTTCTTTTTGTTTTGTTTTAGTTTTGCTTTTGCTTTATTTCTTTTTAAGTTGTCTTATGTTAGTCAAGGATTATTGCACCAAAAACATTCATGAGTTAGTTTTCCACCCTTGAATTAAATGTATTTGCTACTGTAAATATGATGTGGTGATATAGTTCATACTGTTGTTCATCAGGGTGGCTTAGTACCAAATACTGAGCAGATCATGTCTACATAGCACATTGAACGTTTTTGATTTCAAACAGACTTTAATTCAGTTTATTAATCTGTTTTTAAGGAGTCGCATGCTGTTGTCACATCTTCGTTTCAGAGACTGCTATAGAGGGTGCAGGAATGAATAATGTGTACTTTGCATGCAAAATATTTATTAAAACCACGACAGCTCATATGTAATGTATATCCCTCTGGGCACTTAGAGAGGATTAAATAAAAAGTTATTTAATATATGAAAATGTGACCTATATGCTTATTGGACAGTGACTGATAACAAAACTGTATAAGAATGGTAGCTTGGACAGAGACCGATTCAGATGGTCAGCTGGCATCTTGGCTTTATTATTTCTTCTAGTAAAGTCTTATTTTGGCTTCTGGAACTCTGCCTCTGAGCGTTATTCCTGCAAGACCGAGAAGACTTTTCTCCACTACAGGTCATGAATTGGTTGTGTTTATCTTGTGTTTAGGTTATGCATTACTTTATCATATCTCCTCTATCTTCAGAATCGCCTCCTGGGATCAGCTTTGGATGTCGTAGCAGCTCGGGCAAACACAGACTCACAGTCCACCCTGCACATGAGCTCTGGAATCACCCAGACAGACTCTCTGCCAGCTCAGATCTCAGGCAGTCGCAGCGTCAGACTCTCTGCTACTGATAAAACCTCTGCTGGAAGCCCAGCATCAGGTGAGGCTGCTGCTGAGATTTGGTATGCATATATAGATTTGTATACTTGTATTGATTTTCCCCCTTACTGGTCATCTATAAATAATGTGACCCTAAAAAGTATTTGAACATTTTTGGATACTTAAGTTACGCTTAATGCATTGAATTAAGGTTCAAAATATGGCATCAGCTTATGGCGTCAGAATCGGCTTCAATTTAATGAGATACTTTTTTCAATTAGTTTTAACCAATTGGGTTTCAGGTTATTTTCATGGATGTCAATTCCCATTAATTTCACGCAGATGTCTTAGCAGAATAACCACAGGTGTAGTTCATTATATTAGCATATGAACATGTTACAAAACATTTGACAACCAGAAAGTGTGCAAGACATTTTGAACATTATTGTTTAATTTTGTGAAATAATTTGAAATGTGTGCTTGTGCTTTCTTAAAACAGATGTCACTTGTTTTGATATTTTATTATAAATGCAAATACATTTATAATTTTTAAATTATGACTTATTTGTGACCCTGGAGCACAAAACCAGTCTTAAGTCGCTGGGGTATATTTGTAGTAATAGCCAAAAAAACATTGTATGGGTCAAAATGATTGATTTTTCTTTTATGCCAAAAATCATTAGGATATTAACTAAAGATTATGTTCCATGAAGATATTTTTAAATTTCCTACTGTAAATATATTAAAACATATTTTTTGATTAGTAATATGCATTGCTAAGAACTTCATTTGGACAACTTTAAAGGTGATTTTCTCAGTATTTAGATTTTTTTTTCAGATTCCAGATTTTCAAATAGTTGTCTCCAAATATTGTCCTATTTTTTCTTTTATGCCAAAAATCATTAGGATATTAACTAAAGATTATGTTCCATGAAGATATTTTTAAATTTCCTACTGTAAATATATTAAAACATATTTTTTGATTAGTAATATGCATTGCTAAGAACTTCATTTGGACAACTTTAAAGGTGATTTTCTCAGTATTTAGATTTTTTTTTCAGATTCCAGATTTTCAAATAGTTGTCTCCAAATATTGTCCTATCCTAACAAACAATACATCAATGGAAAGCTTATTTATTCAGCTTTCTTATGATGTATAAATCTCAATTTCGAAAAATTGACCCTTATATTAGACACATTTGTTTAAATGTGTGTTTGGATAAATGTAGTTTGTTAAAGCCGAGGGTGCTGCAAGTACAACTAAACAAATGGTGCTGATTATAGTTTTTATGTTGATTTAATTTCGCCTGCAGTCTCAAAGGATGTGCTCCGAGACAAACAAACAGGTGGGCATAAAAGCCCCCTGGAGACCCCTGCACCACGTAAAGTCATTCCTAAACCCATCCACTGGACATCATCATCATCATCATCATCATCAACAAGCACCATCAAACCTCAGAAATCCTCCCTCAGGAACCAAGGTGGGATTCTCTCTGTCATTTACTTATTGTCATTTATTTATTTCTGTTTGCAGAAAGCAGTTTGGTTATTATAGCAAATATCTGATTATTTGGTTTTGCGATTTTTATGTGTAGTTGCATTATATTAAGTCTTTTCTTTTCTTTCCCCAACTTTTCCAAATCAAAGCATAGTTCTGAAATAATTTTTTGGACCAATTGTTCATTGGTTAATTTTTTTCAATCAGTCTTAGTGGTAGTATGGATGGCATTCATGTTGAAACCACTTGATGGCAGTAGCGTCACTACTGAATTTTTGCTTTTGCACCACAAACAGAACTGTAAAAACACATTTCCACTGCCTTTATATCATTTCAGTGTAGATTTTAGATTAATCAGAGGTAATAATAATCCATAACAACATTGTCTTTTTATATATATATATATATCTTCCAAGACCTTCTGGGTGGTTGAAATTAAAATCTTTCTAATATAATTCTAGAATTTTGTATTTCATTTTTGTGAGACAGTATATCTAAATATTGAAAAATGAAGCATACCGTGCAATTTATTTATAACGTTTTTGGTATAATTATTATTAATACATTTATTCACATGCAAAATATTTTTAGCTCTCTCTGATTGTAATATAATATGCATGGACTATGTTTTGGAAAGTAGACGGAGCATTTTAATTAATTACTGCTGCACATATTTTGCAGCATATTATTTTTGGTTAAGTCTCATCTTATCACTACTTTCAAATGGCATTCATTGTTGCATCCATGGCTACAGGCTTTGGAATCCATTGTGCTTCGCCTCCGCCAAGAAACCGCCTGCTTTTAGTTTCCCGTTTAAGAGGCAACAATGATCAGCTAAGCCCAGAACCTCATGTTCTCAAACTCCAAAACCAGTCATTTATCCCCGAATGGGCTTTTCCCCTTTATAGACACCATCACTCAACCAATCTGTCACTCCTCCGGATTGGATTGAAGACTCGCTTTTGCACTAAAAACCAATTAAGGCAAAAAGCAGTTGTTGAAAGACGTGTCACCGCCGAACAGCTGTGTAAATACGAACAGTTCAAGCTGTTCGCCTCAGTCACGCTGTTTTGCTCCCGTCGGAGAGAGCCCAGGCTTGTTATTGGAAATGCTTAGGGGATGTTAGCACAAACTGACCTGTAACACAGCTGCTTTAGTGTCTTCAAGTAGTGCACGTCATTAAACGGGCTGCTGTAGAGCCGAATTACCCTACACAATGTTGTGCAACCGTGAGTATACTAGACTAGGCCATACTTGCTTATCACAAACAACATTCCTGCTTTTCCGTTTCACCTGCTCTTTCCTCTTTTTCCAATTCGCTGGTAATTTAGCTGCGAGATGTGAGCTCAGAGATGGGGTCACTGACATAAGCCCGGCCGTCTGAAACCTGGGAGAATTTTCCCACCTGAATCTAATCCGCCGGCTGCTGCAGCCCCCTCCGTGTCTCCCACATGAACGCCGGATTGCTTTCCCAGACGCCGGAGCTGTGTTCTCAGGCTCGCGTTGATGGATGTGTGTGTGGGAGAACAGAGAGTTAATTATGGCTTGCAGTTTTTCAGTGTGTATTTTTCCTGGAGTGTGAAAATTCTCTGTTAAATCACCAGTTCTGTCTGTTTTCGAGCTACATACATACACAGTGCACGCTTCCTGATTGATTATTCCATTGAGTTTGATGTAAAATTTGGGGAATTTGATGTAAATTCAGGGAATCAGCACGTGTAAACACTAAGGTACAGGGATGTGTGCATCGAGAAAGTGGGAAAATTCTGCAGCAAGATGTCTGTTGCTACGAACTCCATTTTGTCACTTGTGCGCAGCAATCTGGTCGTCATGGCAACCCAGCTATTTGAGTGGCAGCGTTTCTCCATCTCTCCGGCTGTCACACCGTTCTCTCTCTCCATTGAAACAGGTTATTTTTAGCCATCCTTCCTTTTGTTTCTCACGTACATCATCAAAACAGAATTAAATGCATGCAGAGAGGTGAAATCTGGAGCGTGAGATGTTGTGTCGTGCTTTTATGTTCACTCGTTTATGAGTAATCCACCAGGAAATTAGGAGCGGTGTGTTAGAACTGGTTTAATTATCTGAGCTTATATACGCTTTGGTCATAAGGTAAATTTAGCCACTGTGGTTGGGGATTTTTATTTAAATTTTTCAGCATCACATTTTTAGGTTTATATGAGCGAATTAGAGAAAGTGTGTAATTAAGGTGATTTATTATGACCGATATGATGCAGGTAATTTTAAGTGTCCGATAATCAATATGCCAACCCAGTTAGTAATTGTAGTTGTGTAAAAACACAATCATTCTGAATATTTTATTCAGAATATCAGTAAAAATATTGTCACACACTGGTCAATTGCTAGCTGTATCACCTTTTTATTTGAAGTTTTAGTCATTTTTTAGCATCTGTGCTGTTCACTTTAATGGTCCTGTGGTCTGACAAATGAGTTTTTTAAAAAGCTTAAATATTCCATGTAGTCACTCAAAATAATATTGCGTCATAAAACAGCATGTATTGTAGTTATACAAGATGTAGAAAAATATTTACAACAGTTTCCAATAGACACTGCAGTCACTGTTTGAAATGTCATTCTTTATTCATCTTTTTTTATTCATTTACCCTTTAGGTAAGTCAAATGTGTCCAAACCGTTAGTGAAGATAGTGAAATCAAATAGGTGAAACAGAAGTCGAATCATGTAGTAATGAGTGGAGAAGCCTGCAGATTTTACATTAAGGGTTATGAATATTGCAGATGCCCTCAACAGCAATTCCAGTGGTCTTACCTCATCAAAGATTTATGGGTAGACATTTTAGCTTGTACTAGACAAACACTAGCCATGTCGAGATATGCAGTATTTTAAAAATTATCTGATTTTATAAATGCTTTATGTATGTATGAACATTTGATTTATTTAAAACACAGTACTGTAAATTTGTGAAATATTGTTAAATAATTCTTGATGGCAAAGCTGAATTTTTAGCATCATTACTCCAGTCTTCTGTGTCACATGATCCTTCAGAAAACATTCTGATGCTCAAGATACAGTTCTTCTTCTTATTATTATTATTATTAATGTTAAAAACAGTTATGCTGCTTAATATTTTTGTAGAAATTGATGCATATTTTTCAGAAATATTTGATGAAGAAAGTTCAAAAGAACAGCATTTATTTGAAATAGAAATATTTTCTCAAAATAAATAAGTGTTCATTTCTTTAAAATGTTATTGAATTTTTTTTAATGCTTTTATTCAGCAAATATGCATTAAATTTATCAAAAGTGACCGTAAAGACAATAATAATAATCAAAAAACATTTTTTATTCAAATAAATGCTGTTCTTTTGAAACTTCTATTCACCAAAGAAAAGCACCAAATCAACATATTAGAATGATTTCTAAAAGATCATGTGACACCTGAAGACTGGATGAATATATTATTTAAAAATATTTTCACGTTTGTTATTCGTCTAGTACTGTGGGTCAAATTACCAGACATTTTACAGTAGAGCTTTTTTGCAGTCATTAACAGCGATGATTGTTTTTGCATGTCTGCTTGCTCTCTCACAGGAAACACGGCGCAGAGGGTCTGCGATACAGGGGGCTTTGTTTGCCATTGAGTCATGAGACTTTAGCTGCTCGTTTAACCGTATTCAAGAAGCTTGAAGGCCTCATGTTCCCTGTTAGCCAGACACTGGGGCCCACTGGAGGCGCGTATGGCAGTGCTGCTGTTGTTCCAGTTGTAGGAGGAGGCCCTCCTTACGGTGCCTTTTTGACCTTAAGGAAATGATTATGGTCAGGAGCTCTACTGTTGTTTTTGGAGGATTGAGAAATCCTTGTCCTGCGTATTTATATAGCTATGTTTCCTTTCGTCTGCATTCCGCAGTGCCGCAAGGAGAGCTTTCCACTCTCCGGCCTCCTAATAGGGCTCAGGCGAGAGCGCCGGGATATTTTACATTTGCACGATATGAGGTTTCCCCCCTCCATGTACTCAGTTTGACTTTTCCCATTTACAGTCATGGGCTGACAAACTGTAAGAATAGTGAAAGAATAACTGCTCGTTTGTGTTCAGAAATGCCTGGCACGTATCACGTATTTATGGTCCGGGTTATTGGCACGGTGCGCTGGATTTCTGCAGAATTGATGACTAGCTGAAACACACGGGGCCTTGTTAGAGTCGTAGCCCCACAGTGGTGTGTGTTCTGGCATGATGAGCTGGACTGCTGACTGCGGCAGGTGTCTGGTGCCCGGGCTGATCCTTGCGATATCTTCTCTCTTTGCAGGAAATGGCAGACTTCAGGACCAGAGCCCTAATAATCGGAGGTCTCCCGAGAGATGTGCCTTGCAGCCTGTTGGGGTAAAGAGGTTCGCCATGGCAACAGCCAACAACGGCCAACCAGAGCGGTCCAGGTAATAATAGAGCTTGTTTTCAGAGCAGGAAGGCACACAACCCTCTGCCTTCTGTGTTTCGCCGTACACCGTGTGTAACCATAGTAGTAGACCTACATAACTACTACTTTTTTCCAAGCCAAAGGAATGCTTTTGTTTTATTTATGGTGCTCGGTTAGGCCATCTTGTCTTTTTCATTTAAATACGCCCTCCTACTGTTCCATAAGCAAGTGTCACTTAAAAAATGGACGAAGCGTACACGTGTTTTGCCCGAACATCGCTCTGTGCGAGAGGCTTACCGCAACTTGTCAAAATGACAGTATGAGAAGCAGTGTGTTGATGTTAGTGGTTAACACTAAATGTCTTTGTTCTTGGCCTGTGACGTAGCAAGGGAGGTTCTCAATAATACGAACATGTTTTTGGATCTCGTTCTGCAAATTCATAAGAGCCTCCTTGAAGAAAATTTGTCATGAGGAGAAAGATCATTTGAATTGGAGTTTATAGAACTGTCATGGGGCACACAGAAGACAGTCTGCAGCTGACACTAACAAAAAGTAACAAAGTATCATGGCTTTTTAGGATGTGTTTTTTGGACATAGTAAAAACAATACTGTTTATATAATTACAATAGTATATGAATTAGTGGTTCACCGATATGTTTGTAATGGCCTACATACATACCGTTTAAAAGTCTGGGGTCAGTAAGACTTGTAATGTTTTTTTTTTTAAAGAAGCCTCTTATGCTCATCAAGGCTGCATTTATTTGATCAAAAATACAGAAAAAAAACAGTAATCTTGCAAAATGTTAGTACAATATAAAATAATGGTTTCTATTTGAATATCCTTTAAAATCGAATTAATTCCTGTGATGTAAAGCTGAATATTCAGCATCATTACTCCAGTCTTCAGTGTCACATGATCCTTCAGAAATCATTCTAATACTGATTTATTATCAGTGCTGGAAACTGTTGTGCTGCTTAATATTTTTTTGGAACCTGTGATACTTTTTTTCATGATTCTTTAATGAATAAAATGTTAAAAAGAAGAGCATTTATTTAAAATATATATATATTCTAACAATATACAATACCGTTCAAAAATTTGGGGTCAGTAAATTTTTATTCTTTCTTTCTTTTTTTTAAAGAAATGAAAACTTTTATTCAGCAAGGATATGTTAAATTGATAAGAAGTGATAGCAAAGATTTATATTGTTAGAAAAGATTTATGTTTTGAATAAATGCTGTTCTTTTGAACTTTTTATTCATCAAAGAATCCTGAAAAAGTATCGCAGTTTCCAAAAAAACATATTTGGCAGCATAGATGTTGCCAACATTGATAATTCTAATAATAAATCAGCATATTAGAATTATATATATATATAATTAGTAAATATGTGTTAAATCAAAAGTGACAGTAAAGACAATTGTAATGTTACAAAAGATTATATTTTAAATAAATGCTTCAAGTTAAAAAAATAAATGTTCTTTTGAACAAAACAAAGTGTATCATGGTTTTCACAAAACTATTAAGCTGCACAACTGTTGTCAACATTGATAATAATAAGAAATATTTCTTGAACAGCAAATCAGCATATTAGAATGATTTCTGAAGGATCATGTCACACTGAAGACTAGAATAATGATGCTGAAAATCCAGCTTTGCATCACAGGAATAAATGACTATTAAAATATATTAAAATAACAAATTATTTTCAATTGTAATATTTCACAATATTACATTTTTACTGTATTTTTAATCCTTTAAATGCAGCCTTGGGGAGCTAGAATGACGATGACTTTTTTTTCTTTTCTTTTTTTAATACTTTTTTTTTTTTAACACAATACTCAGTACTCACAAAAAAAAGTGCATATCTATTGACCAAACTGACTGTTTTGGTACTGACACTTTGCTAGTTCTGTTAATCGGTCATCTGCCAGTGCCAATAAAAATATAGCCAGAAATAGTCTTAAGATATTAGCAAATTATATGCTAGACATAATTGTCTTTTGACTGACATAAATATGGTAGTCATTCAATAGATGTATCAAGGTATCGCAAGTCCATTTTGTAAGAGGAGCAAAAAGAATATGTCTATTGATATATATGTGGGGATAATGCTTCAAATTTGTCCTTTTCAGTAAACCTGGCTCAGTATTTTATACTGTTTTCTGATCGAAATGCCTTGTGTGTCGGTTTTTTGAAAACCGCATTTAAAATGGTAAATTTGCTTTCATTACCGCCACTGATGGTTCAGCAGCTGCATTTTTCTTTCTCTTTTCAAGTCAATATTCCTGTGTAACAGTAAGGTCTCTTCTAAAAATACAAGTGAGGGAGAGTGAAAGTCATACATCTGCAGGTTACTGAGTGTTCCAACACAAGATGCACACATGAGCAGCTCTGGGAAGTCTCTGAGCAGCCTCTGGTTCCCATGGCAACTGCGGGGCGGTCTCTATCGGCTCATCTGAGAATAGGTAAAGTAAATCTGCATGCATCTGGCCACCCGCCAGCGTCTCGAATGAAAGAGCACTTTGAATGGCTGCCAGGTTTGGAGGAGGAGAGAGGCTGTCAGGCCTGCTTAATGTTGGCAGTTTGTACTTGGCAAGACTCGCCTTTTCCCAGAATCCCTCACTCTGGCAGCCCGCCAGCCACTTAGCGGAAGCTGAGAGTTAACCCCTGCGATAAGCTGGTGGAAAGCTGAACGTGGAAAACTTTCCATGCAGAGTGTGTGTGTCCGCACATGTGGGTGGGTGATCTGTTCAGTGTGTGTGTGTAGAATAGGTAAAGTAAATCTGCATGCATCTGGCCACCCGCCAGCGTCTCGAATGAAAGAGCACTTTGAATGGCTGCCAGGTTTGGAGGAGGAGAGAGGCTGTCAGGCCTGCTTAATGTTGGCAGTTTGTACTTGGCAAGACTCGCCTTTTCCCAGAATCCCTCACTCTGGCAGCCCGCCAGCCACTTAGCGGAAGCTGAGAGTTAACCCCTGCGATAAGCTGGTGGAAAGCTGAACGTGGAAAACTTTCCATGCAGAGTGTGTGTGTCCGCACATGTGGGTGTGTGTGTGTGTGTGTGTGTGTGTGCGCGCGGGCAAAAAAGTGCCAAGCCTCAGGGTGATCTGTATTCATGAGAAGACTACAGGGACAGCGAAACATCCCTCAGTGAAAGGAAAGGAGGGTGAAATATCCTTTACAGGCAGATTGCAAATTTAGACTACATTTTGGCTAAAAGATTCCGAATCTTTTGCCCATTGAATGTTAGTTATATATTTTTGTGCTATATATTTTGAAGTATTTTTCTTCCCAATATAAATATTTGAGTTCTACATATGGTCTTGTGTCAGACAAGGACATTTGAGTGTTTGCAAAGTGAAACCTGATTTCATTTTAAAGTCAAGTGACTCGCTCCAACACTGAAGATGATTTGCACAAACACTGTTTCTTTGTGTCGTTAATTTGGGGCACAAACCAAAGGCATCAGGCTCATTTACACCTTCCGAGTCACAAGCACAGAGCACAAATACTGTGCAAATTGTCTCCGGTTTTAGAAGCTGGAAGACATTCTGCCTGCCATATCAGTAGTGGATATTTTATCCTTTTTGACATCCAGATTTAGGCTCTTTAATGCTTGATGTACTGTATATCTAATTTTCAGTGGAGGGAGAAAATCACGTCCTCAGATTTGGCTCATGCCTTACTTGGTAGTTATGTTTTTTTTTTTTTTTTTTTGCTTGGATAAAGCACAGCTTCTTTTTTGTGCCAGCAGAATGCAGGGATTGCAGTAAATGGCATTTCTCCTCTCCCTCAGACCTCCCTTGCCTTTTTTTTCCCCCTTCTCTCGGTTTTTCCACCCTCTCGTCTTGTTGTATAACAGGATGAGTTTTTTTTTTACATCGTCTGTGCGGTGTTGTTAAGCAGAGAATAGACTATGGGAAAGGGGCTTTTAGGGGGCAGAGCTGTGAAACTTCCTTATTTAAGGTAAACATTCAGAGGCTGACAGATACTACCATGCAAAACCCCAGAAATATTATGAGTCTTTAATAATCATATTTATTAAATCACAATGATATCAGAACATATGCCGTATACGTAAACATTGTCCATGTTTAAGGAAGTCTTTATATCATGGGGCATACTGTAGATGTTATTTTAAATGACTAAGAATGTCTTTTGTTTAAAATCTGTCCACAGTATGCTTATTTTTAGTTTAAATCACACACATTTTGCTGGTGTAAGCATCTTTATAACATGATCTTGCATTATTAATAGTACTGCAGAATATCAAGCTTATGGACATTTTAGAAGCAGTAAGAACAGACGCTCTGAAAGAAAACATGAATACTTCAGATTTTCCACCCACTACTCTTGCTCTTGTATTCTGAGAGCAAACTGGCCAACAAGTTATGGCAAGTAGCTTGAACATTTATTTTTTGTATTATTTTTATAAGCATGTATATTCATAAATAAATAATACTTATTTATAATTAATAATCTAATAGTGACTATTATCCCATTTCAATTTAACTAGAAACTTCATTTGATTCTAGTGTTCATTACAGTAGTGGTGGGTATCTATTAAATTAGTAATTTATAATGATTTATCATATTTATTCATTAGATACTAAAACCTGTAACTTTTGCTACTAGTCATTATCCCGATATTGACAAGTAATATTTTTTTACTGCTAAGAATTTATTTAAAAAAAAATTTTAATTGAATTATCTGTCATATGAGGTATGGAATTGACGTATAGAATCTGGTTTTCAGGTATTCATGTATCTCTTCATTGTGTCCATTTCAGATTTACTACTAAGTATTCATTAGTTTTTAGTGATTATTTCCTTGATACATTCCAGAACTATAGATACTAATTACACATTCAATTTGTTACCAGTAAAAATGGAATGGATACTTGCCATATTGCGATAGTGATTACAAGCAAAGAAATAAATAGTGTATAATCAATAAGTACTGAATAGATACTTGTCACTATCGGATTTAACTAAAAGTGCTAGTAACATAAAAAC